GGGAGGGGGGCTCTTCCAGGAAGTATTTTCCCCACTTCACATTCTCCTGCCTCTCAAGACTGAGTCATGGGAGTTGGGGTGAGGGCAAAGGTGTGAGCCAGGGGACAGAGTTTCAAGGCAGGTACAAAAATATTACGCACATGATTTTTGTTAACCTGGTTTCTGAACTTAATATATCATGGGCATTTTCCAAGTCCATGCAGAGCAGTGAGTCTCAGAATGTTGTCCAGGATGGAGAGCTTCTGTACCACCCAGCAATTTGGAAATGCAAATGTTCCATCCCAGACCTATTTAATCAGAAGCTAAGAGATCTGAATTTTAACTAGCCCCCGGGTCAGGGATTGGCAAACACTTTGATCAAGGGCCAGTTTGCAAATAAAGCTTAAGAGAACTAGTCCTGTTCATTCATTTACCTAATGTCTGGGGCTGCTTTCATGCTCTATTAACAGAGTTTAGTTATGACAGAGAGTAACAACCTGCAAAGTCTTTACAGAAGGTTTGCCCAGCACCCCTGATCTAGGTGATTCTGCTTCATGCTACAGTTTTGAGAACCATTGGTATAGTGAGCTCCTTCCTCATTTTTAGTGGTCAAATGAGATTCTGTACATGTAAGTTCCACCACAGAGCTAAGCCAAACCCAGCGTTGGCCCCTGGACAGTTTCTGGTTTCCACCGTCAGGCACATCCTCATGAACACATCTTTCTGTACTCATCTCTTGTAGATGAAATTCCCAGACTGACATTGTTGAGTTAAAAGGTGTGTGTCCAAGGGTTTTTTTGGTTCCTTGGTTTCTTTTACTTCCTCAAAGCCTCTAGTAATCTCAGCTTTCAATATCACTTTCTTTTTTTTTTTTTTAAGAGAGAGAGAGAGAGAATTTTTTAATGTTTATTTTTCAGTTCTCGGCCACAACATCTTTGTTTGTATGTGGTGCTGGGGTCGAACCCAGGCCGCACGCATGCCAGGCGAGCGCACTACCACTTGAGCCACATCCCCAGCCCTCAAAATCACTTTCTAATTAAAAATAAAATGATAGTGCAATGTTGATGTAGGACCTAACTTCTCTTTCTCTTTCTGTCTCTGTATGATACTCGGTGTTGAACTCAGGGTCTTTCACATACTAAGAAAGCAAGTACCACTGAGTTACGTCCTTAGTAACACCCAGCTCCCCACTTTTTGCTAAACTGCCTAGGTTGGCCTTCAATTTATGATCATCTTTCCTAAGCCTCCCCAGTAGCTGGGATTATATGCATGTGCCACCATGCCCAATTGGACATAATATCTTAATGATTTATTTGGCTAATGGAACAATTAGCCAAACACAGAACTAAAAAATTTCTCAATTAAAAAAAAAAAAGGCATGCTGTCAGTGTGTCTCAGTGATAGAGCCTGTGCTTTGCACGGGTGGGGCTCTGGGCACTATCCCCAGCACACACACACACACACACACACACACACACACAAAAGTGTATAATTTTGGGCTGGGGTTGTGGATCGGTGGTTGAGCACTTGCCTGGCATGCATGAGGCACTGGGTTCGATTCCCAGCACCACATAAAGAAAACTAAATAAACAAAATAAAGGTATTATGTCCATCTACAACTAAAAATATTTTTTAAAAAGTGTTTAATTTTAAGGTATTTATTACCTATTTTCCAAATCAAAAATCATCCTCCTAAAAGTGTGTATCACTTTACACTCTCCTTTTCCACCAGAGACAGTATTTTCAGTTCTTTCCCAACTTGCAGGGTGAAACAAAGTCACTTGTATTTATTTGATGATTGTTGGGGGTCAAACATCTTTAATTTGTTTAGAAATTTTGTACTTTTGAGAATTATCCATTTGTGTTCTTTGCCATTTCCCTCCTGTCAAGAACTGAAATTATCTTGCCATAGTATCATGTTGCTCAAAGAAGACACAAGACTCCCAGGTCAGAGATAAAGACAGTTTATTGCTCCCAGCAATAGCAGTAGCAGGACTATCAGCATTTGTTTCAGTTTTCAAAGTCCCTTTCACAAGATGATATGAAGGGGGTCAGGTGATTCCTACACATGCAGTGAGGTCATTATAGGAGAAGAACTCTGAGCTTAGGTGACCTGAAATCATTTAAAATGGATCATAAACCTGCCTGTTCCTTAATCCAGAGAAAGATGCTGTCTATCTTCTGCTGTGACTATTCATGAAACAAAATCTTTGAAAGGACAGTTGGCACAAAGCCAGCCAGTGCCTCTGTAGAAATGTGAGGCCCATGGAGAGTTTCATTATCCTTATTCATTTGTAGAAGCTCTTTGCATATAGGGAATATTACCTCTTTGACATACAACTTGTATTTATTCCCCCAGATTTTTTTTCTTTTTTCTTTACTTCTCTTTTCCTCCCTCGTTTTCTTTCCACACCCCCTGCCCCAGGGTTTAAAATTTTAGAATCTCACTCATCAGTAGTCTTCTCTTGGTGTCATGCTTAGAAAAGCAGTCCTCTTCCCAGAGTTATTTTAACATTTCATTTGCTCCTGGTGATCTTATAATTTTATATTTCACTTTAAATCTTTGACATATAGGCAATGTATTAGTTATTTATTTACTGGTACCAGGGATTGAACCCGGGGTGCTTAACCACTGAGCCACATCCCCAGCCCTTTTGTATATTTTATTTGGAGACAGGGTCTCACAGAGTTGCTGAGTTGCTGAGGCTGGCTTTGAACGTGTGATCCTCCTGCCTCAGCCTCCTGAACAGCTGGAATTACGGTGTGCACCATTGTGCCCAGCTCTGTGCAAAGTATTTTAGTGTAAGGAATGAAGTTATGATTTTTTTTTTGCTCACATTCCCCTCTTACATGATAAATGAAGCATACAAAAGTTCATAATTCTAGGTTTTTGCAAGGGCTAGATTTTTGTTAGTGTCTTTGGAACCCTTTAAGAATGGTAATTCCCCAGGAATGGCTTATTTTAAGGTGTTGGGAAATTTAAAGGTCTTTGAGATGCTCTATTTGGGATGATGTATTGCTATTGCGAAATCTCTGAGGATATTCGTTTTCATGGTGCTCTCCAATTGTATTTCCAGGAAGGTTGCTATTGTAAAGTTTCTAGTAGCTGCTGCTGATGGAGATGTCTAAGTTGCCACCATATCCTATTTGGGAACTGTATTATAGGGGGCTTCCAGGAAGGGTGGCTTCGTAACTGTCAGCATCCTCTCTCCCTTCAGGATCCCTCTTAACCGAGTTCACCCTGGATACAGAACCCTGAACCCACTGAGGGGATGGGGAGAGCCAGCAGAGCCCTCTAGGTTGGGGACTCCGTCCACTGGGGACAAGCCCATCTTTGTGCCTCTCTCCAAGTTCTTGAATGTGAGTCACAGCCATACACAGTCCCACCCTTATGCTCTTAAGCCAAACTCTCTTCATTTATCCTATCTCCTCTTTGCCATCAGGTCCAGTATTTTGGGAAAATTGGCCTGGGAACGCCTCCACAAAACTTCTCTGTCGTCTTTGACACTGGCTCCTCCAATCTTTGGGTTCCATCCAAGCGATGTCACTTCCTCAGTCTGCCTTGCTGTGAGCTTTCATCGTGGGGAGAATAAGGCTGAAGAGGGGTGAAGGGGGAAGGAGGGACGGGGCCTCCTCTTTCCTAAGGGTTTGAGCCCCCATTGTCTTCTGATATCCTCACCGGTGAGAAGTCTAAGGGGCAGGCGTCATGGGAATCTTCTGCTTCCCAGTGACACCTCTCTGATCTTCTGAATTAGGGTTCCATCACCGTTTTGATCCCAAGGCTTCCAGCTCCTTCCGGCCCAATGGGACCAAGTTTGCCATTCAGTATGGAACCGGGCGGCTCAGTGGAATCCTGAGCGAGGACAAGTTGACTGTACGTGATCACAAGAAGGTTTGACCTTGGAAGAACCGCAGTGACCAAAACCAACTGATTCTAGGAGGGGCTTAAAGAGGCGGGGTCTCCTGGGCAAAGAGGCAGGGCTTGCGGGTGGGGCTTCCCAAGCAAAGTTTCCTGGGCAGTTGGGACTTGTTTCTGGATGTTCAGGAACAAGGATCCATGCCTTGCTGTGGGGATCCAAGGGATAGGTAGATAATGTCCTTCCAGAACTAACTGGCCCAATCTCAATCTACTCCTAGATTGGGGAAATCAAAGGTGCACCAGTTATTTTTGGGGAGGCTCTGTGGGAGCCCAGCCTGGTCTTCACTTTTGCCCATTTCGATGGGATACTGGGCCTCGGCTTTCCCAGTCTGGCTGTGGGAGGAGTTCAGCCCCCGCTGGATGCACTGGTGGCGCAGGGACTACTGGATAAGCCTGTCTTCTCCTTTTACCTCAACAGGTACTGGGGGAGGGTCTCCCCACCTACAAGTCCTGGCCCCAAGAAGGAAGTTCCGCCCCCCACCCCCAATTCAGGAAATCTCATCATCCTTTCAGGAAGTCATCCACTTAACAAAGCGATTTTTAGCCTCCGTTGAGGAAAGTGCTTGTTTCACATAAGAAATGCCCCAACCCTATTCATGAGTTTCACAGCTTAAGTGACTACTTAAACCATACTAAAGAAACTCACCATCACTTCAAAATGCTCCACGTTTCAAAATCAAACAGAGAATTTCATGCACTTTCCTTCAAATACTTGACTTAGGAACACTCTCTTCACCATAAAGAAAACTCAAGTTCCATTTGAGAACACTCAACAGGAAGTCAGGAATTACCCATTGAGTACCACCTTACACTTGAAAATCCTGTTCACCAGCAAGTCTCCGCCCCCTCCCCAAATCTCCACCTTGCTTCCCAGAGGCCCATCACCCACAGCCAAAATCCCGATGTCCACTCAGTTACCCCAACATGCAACCCACTCAGGAGGTCCAGCCTTCCTCTTAGTAGATGGGCCCTCCTCCATTTTTCAGGAAGTCGCTACTCTCTCTTCTGGTCACTGACAGCCAACTCAGGAAGCTTAACACCTCTCTTGATACCAGGACACACAATTTAGAAAGTCTCACTACCTACTCAGGAAGCCACCCCACCCCTACACAAATCACACATCCAGAGCCAATTCAGAAACCTCAGTGCTGTGTTTAGTAACTACGGCAGGCAGTTCAGGAAATCCACTCCCCCCCCCTCCCCCGGCCAAGAATTCCGCCTTCCAGTCAACTGAAGTCTCATCTCTACTTTGGGATGCCCCCCAAAACACTAAAGTCCTTCTCCACCAAGAAAAAGCACCATTTCCCTTCAACTTCTTGCTTCGCTGCCAGTTCCAATATCTAGGCCCCACCCACACTCTACTACCCCCATCTAGAACTGAGAAAAGACCAACTAGCACGAAGTCCCAGCAGCCCTGGTCATTCCTGGGGCTGGAAGGGGAAACATCAGTGACACCACAGTATTCTGCTTCTGCAGGGACTCTGAAGGGGCTGATGGAGGAGAGCTGGTCCTGGGGGGCTCAGACCCCACTCACTACATCCCACCCCTCACCTTCGTGCCAGTCACAGTCCCTGCCTTCTGGCAGATCCACATGGAGGGGTGAGTGGCTTGCTTCCTGGGCCTGAAGGTGGAGGCTAGGGGTGGTGTGCATTTCTAGGGTTCTGCCTCTAATACCTGTCCCCTTTCCCTTCACAGTGTGAAGGTGGGCACAGGGCTGACTGTCTGTGCCCAGGGCTGTGCTGCCATCCTAGACACAGGCACATCCCTCATCACAGGACCCTCTGAGGAGATCCAGGCCCTGAATGTAGCCATTGGGGGATTTCCCTTGCTGGCTGGGCAGGTAAGGACACAGTCTCTGGTGAGTGTGGACTGGGGAGGCTGATGGGAATTTGATGGCAGACATTGGGCAGGATGCTGGGAACAAAGGGGAGGAAGCAGGTAGCTATAAAGTGTCCTAGGGCCGAAGGAACTGGACCTTTGCTTGATGGGCTGCAACACGGAGGAAGGAAGCAAGGACATTTCCAAGCATCTTCTCTGAATGACTCAGGTGTGGTGGGGAGAGGGATGAGAATTACCCATTGAGTACCACCTTACTTATTTAGGACTGGATGAGAGAAGGCTTGGTGACAAGGCCGGTCCATACAAGGCCCTGAATATCTAGTTGTCCAATACAGACATTACCCTATGGTGCTGGGGAGGTGCGGAAGGTATTTGAGCAGGAATCTCCCATCTTCACTTGTTCTTCTCCTCTAGTACCTCATTCAGTGCTCGAAAATCCCATCGCTCCCCGCAGTGTCCTTCCTCCTTGGGGGGGTTTGGTTTAACCTCACGGCCCAGGACTACGTCATTCAGGTGTGTGACTCATTGACGTCAGCGTAACACAATGTAACCCGACTTGAGGGGCGGAGCTGGTAGTGAGACCACCAGGGCGGGGTAGGAGCCCCCACAGAAACATCTCTTGTTTTCTTTTGCGGAAGTGGGCGGGGCGAAGCATTAGCTCCCGGGGAAAAGGCAGGTACAGTGGCGTGTTGTGACACCCAGTAGTCCTGTCTTGTCGCTTTGCAGATTGCTCAGGGTGGCATCCGCCTGTGTATGTCCGGCTTCCAGGGCTTGGACATGCCTCCGCCTGCAGGACCCCTGTGGATCCTCGGCGACGTCTTCTTGGGGACCTACGTGTCTGTCTTTGACCGCGGGCACGTGAACGGCAGCGCCCGGGTGGGCCTGGCGCGCGCTCGTTCCCGCGAAACTGGCGGCAAGGGGATGAACCCGCGCAGGCGCGGTTCTGCGGCTGACACCCTTGCTAGGCGCATGCGTGCCGACAGGTAGCGGAGGTCCCGCATCCTTGTAAAAATCTAGCATTTCCTTTTAAACAACTTACCTGGATCGCTTCTTACTACGCACACACGTTTTACAGGGAAAAATTAATGTCGGACCTCCGGAATCGAGGAGGGGAAGGGTATCGCGACTATTCTGCTGGGTTTACACTAGCTAGTGGAGTCTTACACTACAAATACCACGAATCCCTAACCTTTTCTCTGCCTCCAGTCGAAGGCTCCCGGCCTCGCGAAGCATCGTGGATGTTGTAGTCCACGCCATGTTACATTTTTAGCAGAGGCTGGCGCAGCCACAACATGCGTGGGAGGCGACAGGTCGCGACAACAGCGACAGGTGTCAGGTGTGTGTGTGTGTGTGTGTGTGTGTGTGTGTGTGTGTAGAGATGTGGTGGCTGAAATCGATAAAGGGTTTCCTAACCCTTGTTCTAAAGATGGGGGATACCGTTCCTGTGGGCCTCATCTTTTGTTCATTTTCTCTGCCCTTGGGATTCCGGGGACCCCTGGGTCCGCCATAAAGGCGGAGCTTGATGCCCCCGAGTTGGGGGGAAGCGGTGCTGCCCCTCCTCCGGTGGTGATGTCACTACCCTTTCAGCAGCTTCTTTCTGCTCAGAGCTGCTGGGGCTGGGTCACCCTCCCCCGTCGCCAGCCCTGGATTCCCCCATCCCCGCCTTGCCTCGACTTGGGGTGAGTACGGGGGAGGGGGCGGAGGCTCAGGTTCGGCGGGGGGGCAGTAAGACAGCCCAAGTACCAGTTTGGGAGGTAGGGGACTTGGAAGGCAGGGAACCCAAGATTACATCGGAGGGATTCCCTTTGATTCTGAGCTTTGGGGCCAAGGTACTTGAAGGGTCTCAGGCAAGGAGTCCTGTATTTTCAGCATTAGTGGGACTCCCCTTTCCTGGATTTGGAAGTGATGGGAATGTAGTTGAGGGCATAAGAAAGGAGCCCTAGAAGTCAGGGAGAAGATGACCCATCCTTAATTTTTGGGTCCTTTGGTGAATGGGGGAGGGAGTGTCCAGGATAAGGAGTGGGAGTTTGGAGCTTTCAGAAATTCTGTGTTTAGTGTCAGGGAAAGGATGCTCTGTAGAAGAGCTAGGGTGTGAAAAGGTCTGAAGAAGTGGACAGATAGCCTCTCTCCTCCTGGGTCCATGGCCAAACGTGGAATTCGTTTTCCTGTGGTCTGTGAGCACAGCTGGGTGTCCTGAGCCCCATCTTGTCTCCTGAAGGCCCCTTCTCTCTGATGGATGGGTGAGAATCCAGGCTCACAAAACCTTCACATACCCCGATGAGGTATGGAGAGGGCAATAAAGGAATGAATGAGAGCATCCAAATTTCCCATGACTGAGGGAGTCCGATCCATCCTGTTACTCCTGGCTGCTGCCCCCATCCCCAGCTTCTAATCCCAAATCTTATTCCATATTCTCCCCATTTTCCAGCTCCTTCTCACCAACAACACCCACCTTCTCCCACACTTCTGACCTCTGGTGGCGGGGACCAAAAACCGCTGATTTAGTAACTTGATCCTGGGCCTGGCTGCTGTCAAAAGCAGAAAGTAGGGGTGGAGGTGGGGAATAAAGGATGGCTGACTTAGGTTCTCACCCCAGTCCCAATTCCCTGCCCCTAGTGGCTACCCAGCCCCTTCTCCAGCCTCCATCCCCATCTCTAACTGGAGCCTCATTCAATGCTCACTACAGATTCATTGCTTTTGCCTAGGACCACATCAGAATTCAGGGTAGAGAGAGGTAGGAAGTGCTGATGTATTTTCTCTGCCTAGGTGGGTCCCATCAGAGACCCAAGGGCTGTCCAAGGATTGTGGATACTGGATTGGAGGCTATGGGAGAGCCCAGGGTCTGGGGAGGGAGATAACTACTCTTTGTCTGCAGGACAAACCCTACTCTGTAACTGTCTGCAGTGACGCAGCATGAACCCTGGCCAGGATGGGGGTTAGAGTGTATGGAGGAGAGCCTTGAGAGAAAGAATAAGAGACCTAGAGAGAGGGGAGCCCCAGGAAGAGACAGACTCAGGAGTGGGTAAGACATGGGAGAGAGACCCAAAGAGGACTCAGAGAGAAAGTAGGATTAGAGTGAGTCAACAGAGCAGACGACAAAGGGCAGAGATGAGCAGGTGAAGGGGGCACACCAGGGGGCTGCCAGCATCCTCTAGCTACCCGGTGCCTGGCCTGATGCCACCCTCTGCAGGTGCAGCAGCTGGCTGGTACCAATCATAAATAGGGAGAGGGAAAGGAAAGGAGAGGGAGTTCATCAGAAAATAAGAGGGGGGCCCAGAGTTCCAGAAAAGGCAGAAACAAGTGAGGTGGGGTGGGGGACTGAGACACAGAAGAGGATAGAGATCATGAGGTGACAGAGACTCAAAGAGGGACAAAAGACCCAATGGGAGGAAGAGAGACCTAGAGAGGCACTTCCTGAGTAAAAGGTAGAGACCAAAAGAATGAGAATGGGGATGGGATTCTAAACCATGGCCAGGCAAGGGAAGTCAACTCTAGAGAGAAGAGGAGCAAAGCCTCAAAAGGAAAGGGACAAATTCAGAGACCCAGGGGAAGGGCAGAGAAAAGAGGGGCTAGAGACACAGAAACGGGAGCAGGATGGGGTGGAGAGGCGACACCAACCAACCGCTGCACAGGCAGAGGGAGGCAGCGGGCAAGGCAGCGCGCAGCCAGAGGATGCCCGCAGCCCTCTGACCTGCCCACTTCGCTCCCACAGGCACCTCCTCGCTCAGAAACCCAGCCGCAGTCGTTGGCTCCGCCCCAGCCCCTGCGTCTGCGCACTGCCTCCTAGAGCCCAGGTCCATTCTGGGGGCGGGGCCTGACGCTTCAAGGCGGTCCTCCTTGTTTTGGCCCCGCCCCTAACTCTCCATTCGACCTCTGCCCCGACTCCAGACCTCTCTGACACCTAACCGGGCACATTTTGCATTGGTCTCATCTATTGCCCCAGTTTAGATGCTTTGGCTTCTCCCCCTCCCCTCTCTTCTGTGTGCATTCGGCTCACTCCAGTTCTTATCCATCTCTTCATCCTCCAATCTGCAGTCCACTGTGGTCTAATCATCATCTCTTTTCCTTCACCAATTGACGTTCTCACCCTGCCCCTTAAATCATCAGTAATCCTTAGTCATTGAGGATCTTTAGCTCCAAGGACTCCAAGACTCTTCTTCTTCCAGGTCCCTCTGCTCTGTCCAGCATAGTAGCCTTTCACTCTGCAAGTCTCACTTTTCCTCTATTCCCCCGCCCCTCGTCCCTTTCCTCCACCATCTCACCCATGGCCTTTCAAGCTCCTTAAAGTCCCGCTCCTCCCTTAGTCTCACCTTCCTACAGCCGGTTCAAGGGGTTGTCTACCATTCGTAGACCCCACCTACTTTTCTCGGTCCCGACCTATCCTTCCTTCCTTCATTCATTCATTCTCCAGGCCCAGCACCCTCAGCTTTCTGCCTGGGCTCCTCCTCCCTAAGTCCTATTCAGACGCTCTCAGGTTTTCAAGCCTCACTTGTTTCAAACCTTCTCACTGGGTCTCAAACTCTCAATCTCTCTTCCCTTCTCCCTGTCCTTTTTCACTCAAGCCAGTCCCATTCCGTGAGAAAGTGGTCCATCTCCAGTTCCCTTCCCTAGTTCAGTCCTGCCCGTTCACTGTCCCAGCTAATCAGGACTCTCTTTGCTCTATGCTCTTAAGTCTTGCCCCATCCAACCTATGTTATCCAACACCCGGGTCCTCCCTGCCAAAGCTTTAGGTCCCGGGGAGAGATCTCTTTTTATTTCTCTCCTGACCCTTCTCTCCGGACCTTCTCAGTCCAACCAGATCGGCTTCTCAGATTATGACCTCGCCCCTCCAGGCCAGTCTGGCTACCCTTTTTTTCGGTTCTATCAGGTATCTTTCTTACATCTTGCCCGGCTGTCTCCGTTTTCACTGTGCTGCTGAGCCAAGAAACGTTTGTTACGGTCCCGCTTCCTCTGACGCTCCGCCCCTCCGTTTTGCTCCCAAAGATCCAACCGATGAGCCTCATTTGTGGCTCCGCCTCACCCAGCTAGGCAGTGGTAGAGTATCATCCCCTCTCCTCTCGGTCCTAGCCCCACCCAACTCCCTCAGGCCAATCAGTTCGGATCCTCCCCCACTAAGGCTCTGTCCCTCCATTCTATCGTCTCCTCCCATCCAATCACGTCCGCCTTTGCCCCTTTCGGGCCCGCCTCCTCCGTCCATCTTCTCCTCCCACCCAATCACGTCTGTGTCTTCCCTGAGCCCCGCCCCTCTTGGCCCTGCCTCTCCAGCCCCGCCCCCCGTCCAATGCTTAGCTCAGTCTGCGTCTCGTCGTTCCGCCGGCGCCAGG